GGGATGCCTAAGGAGCCTTGCAGCCCATCCTCCCGCCATTTCCGCTCTGCCTGCCTGCACCGTCTCCGATAGGCCCACGTGACGTCATTCAGCCAAAGATCAAAGAGGTTCCTAGTTCTTTTCCTCCTCAGCGGAGCAACAGAATCCATAATCCGGACACAGGTGGCATCAAACGCAGAGAGGAAAGTCACTGGAGGTATCGAGGAATGCTGCGTTTCAGTGGAGTGTAGGTCTGCTGCCAAGAAAGCAGAGGCAAAGTCTGCCGATGTAGAAGGGGTAATAATCCTCCGAGTATGACCAAGGATCATCTGGGTGGGGGTCTCTGAAGCTCAAAGCAAATAAGTCGCCACAGATCAAAAAATAGTCAAATTGTCAGCGGCAGGCCCAATACAACGCCGCCATCTTGAAACTCCGCCTTCAAAATCAAGTAAAATATGCCCTATAGATCTTTGAAAAGTCAGCAAGACGAAGAGAAGCCAACACAGAGCAACTGCTTGGCTGTGCAATGCAAAAGTGCTCTCCTGATTGCCTGGGGTGCCACAACAGCTTCACTAAATCGCATCGATTTTCTGCCTTTTTAATAATAACTTCTGATGTTACTTAATGAGAAGACCCTGGGAATCACAGGGAGGAGGTACTGAACAAACATGGTGTCATCACTGCAGTTAATCAAGTATGCAAAAAAAAATCTGAGTCATTAAAAACTGAGATTCTGATGTTCTTATCTGTGTAAACATGAAAGAATATCAGTGTGGGTGTGTGTCTGTGTCTTAATTGGCATAGCAGGGGAACATTCATTAGTAGGTCTTTCAGGCTGGTGGAGCATGAGAACATCAGTGTCTAACTGGCATTTTGTGCTTGTAGTCGTAGAGTAGAGATGCAGAATGTACGGGACAGTACGAGGGCTCGACTTCCTTGCTGAAGCTTGTTACAGATATCAGTGGATGGTGCAGCTGTGCTTAACCTTCACCTCTTACCTACCACAGATCAAAAAATAGTCAAATTGTCAGCGGCAGGCCCCTAAAACACATGCCATCCAAACAGACATACTGCTCCCAGAGGGACCACAGAGGTCAAACTCCAACACCGATAAAACAGCACCACCAGAGTGAGGCTCCTGCGACTCAGGGGTGAATCCTCCTTTCTCTAAAAATATATACTCTGTTTCGGCTGACAGAAATAAGGTGTTTCCTACTTAAAAAAAAAAATGTTTAGCCTATTTCAGGTTTATTTTTTCTCTCACACATACAGATAATGCATTGTGTTGTAATATATAGTGTACCACAGAATTACTGCTCGTGTGTGTCTTTATGTGCAGATGGATACTCTCAGGTATTTGGTCTTGAATGGAGAAGTCATGCATAAAGTATTAACTTACATCTGTGTCAGGACCCTTGTCGGCTCCAGGACAGGAGAAGGTGACAAACTCGTGGCAGCGTTTGTGAACCACAAAACAGCACACTGAGGGAAGAGAGAGAGAGAGAAGACGAGAGTTTTACAGTAACAGGTTACGACACAACATCGGGAGCTGCATTAGACACAAGAAACGCAAGGACATCATCCTTACATTTATTGTCTCGTGCCTAATGAATGTTCTCTGACAAATGAAGAATCAGCATCTTATTTATCATAAAGCAACCTCAAAACACACAATCAGGCTCACGTGTGTGCACCCACACTCACACCCACACAAAAAATGTCATTGTGTGATGTGCCTTCTGCAGCTGTCGGCTCTTTACAATCAGTTGGGTTGATGCTGACTGCATCATCATCACCCCTCTACAGCACCAAAGTATCACCCCCTCATGACATGACACCCGGTGCTGTTATCACATCATCGACGGCAGCATTTACAATTGGATGCCGCCACAGATCTGGTGGGAGAAGCAAAATCGTGGACATCTGTGACAGAACACAAGCCGACTCTCTCTCTCCGACTCTCGCACCGTGTACCCAACCGCATTTTCCCTGCTATTATTTGAAATTCCTCATTCTTTCATTTTTTTTCCCATTCTCACACAATCTGTCTGCTCCGCTCACTGTCAAGTTGCCTACTTCTTCATGTGCATTTCTGTGCTCTCCCACCATCACATTTGTGTGGTTTTTATCAGTAACTCTGCCAACTAAGTCGCAGTTGCCAGACAATCTGAAGGGCACTGGTTAAACAAGAGAAATGAATTTATTGAGGAGTCCAAGAAACAGCAGGGGTTTCGACTGTCCATGCAAATAGCTGTAATGTATCAGGATGCTCAGTCAATCTGATACATATTGGTAGATAGATAAAGTCTTCATAATCACAGGTGTCATCAGCCATAACACATCCAAACACAATACTTTGTGCAGCTCTTCTCTCTGTTTATGTGTATCAGAGATGGATATTCCCTTCCTGCAAGTGCAGTGCTAAGCTAGTGGCAGTGTACAGTATGAATTCATCTCTTTGAGTAATAAAGAGGAAAAGAGGAAAAAGAGGGGGGATGAAAGCTCCACAAAAATAACAGCCCACGCTGATTTATTTGTGCTCTGAAGTTGTCATCTGTGCCATTTGTCATTTTCCTAATGTACAGTATGCAAAAATAGAAGCAAGCTGGATTCTATACATAGGTGTAGATGCATATGATGGGAATTTCTAGGACAGCAAAGAATTTTCAGCCATGGTGGTGGCGGCACAGCTCTAGGTACTGTATGGCAATGCAGCATGTTGGTCAGTCCACCACTGTGGTCCAGGCTGAAATATCTCAGCATCTATAACAATTACTTGCATCACCACGACATATACAGACATTCCCGGTCCCCAGAGGATGAATCCTACTGATTGTGGTGATCTCCTGACTTTTCCTTGGACTTTTCCCTTTCCTTCCACCTCTGACTCACCCCAAACTCAATTAAATCTGCAGTGTGTTTTTGAGCTGCAGCTCTGTAAGACACTTTTACTGAGCAGGATTAATTCTCAGTGCAACCATCAGGTTTCCTCTCCACAGCCAACTTATGTCAATCACAAATGTAGTGATGTCTGTACGTTTTTCCCCACCCTGCATCTCTCAGCGCTCCTCACACCCTTGGCCACACATCTAGTCCTTGCTGATCTCAGACCAGTTTGAGCTTCCATTTGTGCTACAGTGTGGAGCTTAGCAGACTGACTTGACACTGATTTCAGCTCAGAAGTGAATAAGGGCCACAAAGCTGTGAAGGCATAAAGCTAGCTTTTAACTGTGTGTGTGTGTGTGTGTGTGTGTGTCAGGCAAGCTTGCCCAGACTTAAACAGGACAGAGACTAAGACACACACACACACACACACACACACACGATCGATCTTTTAACTGTGTGTGTGTGTGTGTGTGTGTGTGTCGGGCAAGCTTGCCCAGACTTAAACAGGACAGAGACTAAGACACACACACACACACACACACACACGCACACGCACACGCACACATTAATCTAAAAACTGTCTTAAGAAATTAAGAGCCAATATGTTGCAGTGGCTGAAAGACAGAGGCACTCTGGGAGCTTACAGGGTGTTACACGCATCCCACCAAACAGGAGGAAAGCTGTGAAGACACCTCACATACCTTACACAACACCTGCATGACAAGGGCTGAGTCAACAAAAACATAAGTTTCTTCACAAACTCCTATGATGAGAGAGGAAAAAAAGAGGAAGCAACGCACTCAAAGAGACTTAATTTAGAGTTTTTTGTGATGCAACTATCTTTTGTATGACTCAGCCGGAGGTTGGGAATCTGAGTAGTAAGAAGTGTAGTTGTCACCAGATGGTTTAGCCCGCACAGGAAGAGCTATGTGAAGCAGCAAGAGCAGAGGTGACACAGTGACATACTGTTTCGTCAGGGATATTATGATGAATTACTATGGGCTTTGTTTTACCAGTCTAATTGCATAAGCACAGAGATAAGGGGCTTTGGCTTTACAAAACAGCTTACATAACACAAACGCTTCTTTGTGAGCGCGTGTGCACAGGGTGTAATGCATATTATACCCTATGTTTGTATGCATAATTTGAGTGCCTGTCTCTATAGGTGGGCAGGTAGTGGTATGTTTTCACACATAATTTATGTTGGCATTACTACGCCGCTCCATCCATATCCCCATCTCCTCATCGCTGGTGTTTTAAAATGTGGATTTAGCCCTGGCTAATCTGGTGATGGTGGTCGTCAAGCCAGTGATGCCGTGCTGGTGCCCAGAGGAAAAGGCTTGCAGTGGAGATAAGGGAGAGAGGACAGCACACCTGTAGCACCGGACCAACTCAGTACCATCCAGACATGTTCAATTGATCTGAGTCTCCAGAGTGCATTCAAACACAAAGAGAACTGAGGCTTTGATCTGAGATCCACAGGAGGAAAAGAGGAGGGTGTGCAAGAGGACAGATGAATATGGGTTTGGGGTTCCTAAGACTGTAGAAACTGATGTTTCAAAGGCAGTCTCAAATGTCTGCTCAAACAACTACTGCAATCTTGTATCATCTTTTAGTGCCAAAATATTGTTGAGGTGAAGTTACATGACAGCTTTGTCTGAAGGGAAAAGATGGAGGATAACACAAATTGTCAGGAGATTGTGCATAAATTATTCATTGCACCTTTCTTCTTGCCATTACATAAACACACAAGCTTCCTCCAATCCAGGCTGCTTGTCTGTAAAATGGTCTGTTTCCCTCTTTTTATGACCCAGTCTTTCTGCAGATTGTCATTTCAGATAAAAAAAATAACAGCAGAGAAGAGGGGGGGGGAAAAAAAGAGGATGAAGGAGGGCACTCTCCTCTTTTGGTTATTTTTAGGTCCAATTCTGGCCAGGGTTGGAACAGTGTGTACTGAACCCCACCGTGGTGGAGAAGCAAGGGAAGACATTTCCTCTACACTGCTCTACACCTGGCCAATGCACACTATAAATACACAGGCGGCTGTGCTCAGAGGCCAGCGTGCATGTGAGAGAATGGTGAATGATGAATGAAAATCTATTCCTGCCACAAGCCTGTGTAAATGCTGAATGGGAGAAGTGGAAAAAGCTAAATGATAACCATAGAGGGAACCAAACAAAGGGCCACTTAAAAGCGCTTTAGCCTACAGACAGCGGAGAGACACACTCCTGGTCTGTGTCAAGTTCTTGTCACATTTTGATAGAGTTTGAAGGTCAACGAGAAAATGTAAACAGTCTGTTTATCAGCCAGACATGAATAACTGTTCTGGAAAACACATAAAACTCTCTGTTCATCATTGCTTATATTTATTCTATGCTGCAGAAATATGTGCTTTAAAATGTAACTGTCCCCACAATCACCAAACATACCACTGCAGTGAGTGACAGATCTGAGACTCTCGGAGCCCCAGGTCACATGACCCATAACAACCAGCTGTGTCTTGAGACTGGTGGAGATCGATGGCTAGTGACCACAGCTGGAGTGCCGCACTGTGACAGTAGAGACAGTCAGAGAGGCCCAGCAGTGACCACTCTGCAGAATACACCTGCAGATATTTTTATGCAACGAATGAGAGCTTACTCTATTTTTTCCTGTTTCTGTATTTCTCTTATATTTCTTTAAGTATAATGTTTGAGGGATAAATAAATGCACCCACAATATTTCCATTAGTTCAAATGGAAAGTGGACCATATTGTAGAACAACAGATAAAGTGGGAAATCTGTCTGTCACAAGACATTCTTTCACATGCTTTAACTTTCAATAGCTGACCCTTTAATATCACTGGCAATATTGCGTGCCTTGATTTTTCAAGTATCTAATTCACTGGATAAGCCAAAACAAACATTCTGGTTATTGTTCCAAATGTTATTCATATTACCCACCCCTATAAGACACATACCATATGGCTATAGTGCATGAGTAACTCTGTAAGTAGAGAGAGTATATCATGTTTCTTCTTTTAACTTATGTTAATGATTTTATTTTTTTATACGATTTCACTGCAGATTCTTATACTTTCACACATTCTTTGCCTCTGTTAAATTTTTGTAGCCTTTTCCTACAGAGGGAGGGAACTAACACAGATGCAACAATAACCAAGGCCTGGAAACACTGTAGTACACATTGCAGGTATACATTGTCCAGACTTGGGGATGAAATTCTATTAGTTAAAACTATCATCTACACCTCCTTATGTTTCCCCACATCTCTCCCAAGTGGTTCAAGCTGCAATAAATGTCTGTGTGCATAAGGATCAGCCATGGCTCTATGGATGGCAATGTCAGTCACTCTACCACTTTGGTTTAAACTGACAACATTCAGTACAAACATTTATGATGTCCAGAAGGTGGACGCTAGCAACTTTGGTGATCCCCAACTTTTTTTTAACACCATTATGAGGTTGATATTCTATACCCTGACAACTGTTGGATGCAGATATTTCTCCAGAAGATGAATTGGAATAGCAGCAAGCTACAGCAAAACGTAGTTAAACTACTTGATTAATGTAGTTCACTGCTCCCCATCACTGGTCACT